TTATCATGTGCTTTTTATGCTACTGCTAGTATTTTGGTGCCTTTTATGCTAAGAGTTTGGTGTAATTGTTACCTAGCTTGAGTAAGAGGTCTATCAACTTAGAATTATTTTAGAGGTTACATTAGACTCAGGGAATGTTTGAACAAGTTGGGCTATGTGAAGTTTGGCTTGTGGCCTTAGTGTTTAACTTGCTATCTAGGTTTGTTGAGTATGCTGTCAGTTTGTGTGAAAGCCTATACCTTATTTGCTATGGTGTTGGATTTAGCTTGCTGCCATAATCCATCAGTGGATGTGGATGTTGTACAAAGCTTGCTGCTGTTGTTGACTTAGTAACCAGTAGTCTAGGATTGGTGGACCTTTTGTATTGGTGTTATGCCTGCTATCTAGGCAAGTTGGAGGGCTTGACCAGTTTAGATCCCATCAGGTATTTGGATGTTGCTGTTTGGCTGTGTGAATTCAGGCCGAGTTTGTTTTTCATCATGTGTTGATCAAAGTTGTTTAAGATAGACTGACTTTTGCAGTCAATTTCCTGCACTTGGTGGGTCTGTCATGTGCATCAGGGTTTTTGCCAATCAGTGAAGGCAAGTTTTAGACAGTGTAGGGGAGTTTAGTAGACTTTGTCTTGAGGACTTAAGTTTGTTATGTGTTGGCTTAATCTTTGGAGGACAGTTTTGTTGGTTTGCTTGTTTAGCCTGATTTTGGAGTTGGATTTTTGCTGTAATCATTGCTTGGGATTTTGCTGTTAGGATTTATCTGTCTTGACAGATGTGGCTGTTGAATTAAGTCTTGTCATTGGAATGAACCAAAGGAATCAAACACTATCATGGTTTTGTTGTTCTTAATCATGTTGATAAGGTTGAAATGTTTGAATCCACTGCTGCAGTGCCTTTTGTCATCAGTTTTCTTGCACTTCGTGAGCCTGTGTGCATTGGGGTCTGCCAAACCTTGAGGTATGGGTGCACCTGCTGGGTTTAGCCTTATGCTGTAGTGTTGCTTTTTTTTGTTTTTCATCATGGCTGTCTGGTGTGTGGTGTTAGCTTAGAGGCTTGTTTGCTTATTCTAGATGCTAGTGTACACTCCACCATTTGACAGCCCTGTTGTGGTTTTTGTTAAGAGGCTGAACTGTTTTGGAACTCATCATGAGTTTGGTTTTTCAAGTTTGATCAGACCCTTTGCTCATATCCATTTGCATCATGTTGGTTGTTTGATCGGTGTGTGAGGTTTTGTGTTTGGATTGTGATACTAAGTTCTTGCTCTTATTCAACACATTTTCATCATTTGCAACTCAAGTGCCACTTCTTGTTCTGATGTGTCTCGAACAAGCCTTTTTGTCAGAATTCGTTCTATTATACATTTGAAACATGCTCCAACCATTTCCTACCTTTAAATGCATCTGTTCTGATCTTTGGATACCAAAACGTATTTCAAAACTCCATCTTGCATCTTCCATCGATTTTTGGTGTGTGTGCATAATTTGAAAAAACTAATAGTGTCATTGTGTTCCTCTTGAAAAAATAAGTAAGATAGGCTAAAATTTCATTAAATTTGCTTAAGATTTGAGAGAGTTTGGATCGGAGTCGTATTTCACAACTTTGCCTTGCCTTGCCTTGAGGTTTGCCCAGGAATAGCGCGCTTGTTTGGTATATCTATTGATGGGGTGGCATTGATACACGGATGTATCGACACCCCTGTGGTTAATTGCCTTGCCTTTCACTATCATGTCACCTGTTCGATCCCCAGCGGGGATGAATTTTGTTTATTTTCATGTTTTTTCCCACGTGTTGTCTTTTCTTCTTCCTTGTCCTTTGTTTTTCACAAGTTAATGGATGCTTGGATTGGTTTGGTGTTCAGCCTTGAACCCTAGGGTCAAGGGTTCAACTCCTTACGGGGGCACTTTCTTATATTTTTAGTATTTTGTTTGTTTTTCTTTTACTTCTTTTTAAAACTTTTTTTTAATGCCATAAAAATCCAAAAAAGAAAAACATTTTATTTTATTATTTAATATGTTATTCATTTTCATCCTTTTATTTTTTATTTCTTTTCTTATTTTTATCTTTTAGTTTTAAATATCTAAAATCAAAAAATCTTTTTTATTTTATTTTTTATATGCTATTTTCTTTTTTTTTATTTTAATCTCCATTCTTATTTTGTCATTTTTATTTTGAATTAACAAATTAACATGTTTTCTTTTTCCATTTTATTCATCATTTTATTTCTTTCTCATTTCATCTGCGATTGATTTATTTAGTGTTTACTCGGTCTTTGGCCGTGATCCTCCTAGGATTCCTAGTACCTCCGTTTAGGATGAGAGTAGGAGAGATATTAGGTGTTCAATCCTTTGCATGATAACACTAGGATAGTTTCATTCCCTTTCATCCCGACTTTAGGAGCATTGTGCATGATAACTTTAGGGTTCAGTTTCCCCTTAGCTTGAGTCTTTCTCTCCTCATCTCTTAACCATTTCAAAACACCTAATAAAGAAAGATTTGTGTTGTACGCTACGAGCCTTAAGTACTCGAGGAATGATGGTTGGGGGGCCTCCTCTCAATTGTCTAGAGTGTTCAGCATATGCCCTTTGGGCGATATGCAACGCATTCGCTCTCGAGTCATAGTCTTTAGTGCGACGTGAGTTTCAAACCATAACTCAATCCACTTCTTTGTCTTAAAAAAAACACAAAAACACTTCAAACCTTTTTCACCCTTTGGGGTTCTTAATCAATAAAAATCTTTTCACAAAGAGAGTGTCGTTAACCCTTAGTTCTACCGCAAACGATAACGCCTAAGTCTCCAATGGTCGAGCTGCATACACCAACTGCTAGAACTAATTGTTAACCCTACTCGGACTAAAAACTTTTGAACCAACCTGTGGTCCTTTGAGCCCGAACTACGTTTGCTCTGATTTCTCGTACCAGACGAGGATACGTAGGCACAAGACGCGACATCTTAGAGAGAAACTTTCCCCCTCTTTCACCCATAGTTAGCCGAACTACGTTGACTCTGACTTCTTATTTCAGATGAGATACGTAGGCACAAAGCGTCGTTGCTTTGCTGAGTCATTTCTTTATCTTTTTGTCCTCAAGCCTGTAGTTAGATAGTTTCAATCACCCTTTAGATAGACAACAAGCGGGGATCCCGTCGAGTACGACGGACGTGAGGGGTGCTAATACCTTCCCCTTGCGTAACCGACTCCCGAACCCGAGATTTGGTTGTGATGACCGATCTTATCCCTTTTTTTGTTAGGTTTTCTCTGAGTGTTTCCTTTCCCTCTCTTGGGATAAATAACGCAGGGTGGCGACTCTTCTGTCATTGCCGACCTCGATTTTCGCAGTAGCGACACTATTGATAAAGCACATTTTAGAAAACTTATGGTTAATCCTTATCAAAAATATACATATGTGGTCAAAAATCAAGATAGAAAAAGTTATACAAGAGTTAACCTTACTTGCTTGTATTGTTGCAAGAGGGGTCACACCATTGTTAAATATCGTTTTAGGAGATTTTTAGTTCCTAAAGGGGTTTATCAATGGTTGCCTAAATGCAACCAAGATTTCACTCACAACCAAGGACCCAATAAACAATTAGGTACCTATTTTTGTTGATTATTTTTATAGGTATAAAGTCTTGAGACTACCGAGAGAAGATGGGTTCTCGATAGTGGATGCTCAAGACATATGATAGGAGACATATCTCCCTTCATTGACTTTGTGGCAAAGAAGAAGGAATTTGTAACCTATGGAGACAACAACAAGAGAGTAATACTTGGAAAAGGTAGTGTAGGTAATCCCTCACCTACTACTATCTCTGATGTATTGCTAGTCGAAGGCCTTAAACACAATCTCATTAGCATTAGTCAATTATGCGACAAGGGATACGGAGTATCTTTTTCAAAAGATTGTTTCATAATTGAACACAATGATAAAAAGAAGGATGTGTTTAATGGCTTGAGGGTAAATAATGTCTATATGTTAGATAGCAGCAACAAATGTATCATGACTATGAGTGAGGACTCATGGTTGTGGCATAGACATTTAACGCATGTCAATTTTAACTTGCTAAACAAGATAACCTCTAGCGTTGCGTCTCTACGAGATAGAAACATCAAGCAAGCTACCACATTGACAAAACTCTTCCCCTAATTCATCCTGAGATATATCTTCGGGTACTTTCACAAAATAGAACGTAACAACTCATTTCCTACATCAAAACCCACTGTTGATCCTCCCCATCGAAACTTATTATTAACTTCCCCCACCTAAGAACCATTGTGAAGCTCCCTTCTTAAATGAGTGATGAATCCATAAAATCCTTTAAGTTCTGTCTTCGAGTCACCAGTTACATATTTTTTCGACGCCTTATTCTCACAGTTGTTAATGAATCCCTCATCCCCCATATCTAACCCCACCCAACCCTAAGGGTTTCTTTCTCATATCAAACGGTAAGAATGTTGTGGACAATATCCACCTTCTTACTGGCGATGGGACTCCCTCACCTCTTGTAGGCGACATGTTTCCCTCGCCCTTCATAGACCCTTTGCTCACAAATATAACATCCTAGCCTTTAACTTTAAAACTAGTTTGATGTCTTTTTCAATAGATATATTCACGCCTAACATGACTATTTGTTTTGACATAGAAGAATTATTGGAAAATGAAGATAATATTTCAGAATCAAAATGAGTGCATTATTTTCTCAGAGAGAAAATTTACCTAGCACAAAAAAAGAATGAATAGACAAAAAGACATTAAATGTCTTTGACATGATAATTCATGACAACACCAAACCCAGTTTCTTATTTTAGTTATAAAATATTCGTAAAATTGAAGCATATTCATTACTATCTTACCCTTAAAATACATAAATGATTCCCTCTCAACATCACAATCCACAAAAAGTAACAAAGCATTAAATTCTTTTTAAATTTCAGCACCTGTATCTGAAATCTGAATATAAATTTCGCATTACACAATTTACAATCCCTCTTTCAATTATTAAAAAAAGTACTAACGGTCCTTTTCCCCGGTTTGCAATTCCGGTTCTTGTCGCATAGAATCACTCCTCCAAAAACCGCTTGCGCTGAACCGGGCCCACATCTCTTCTTCCAATTTAGCACCTCCCGGTACCTCTTCCTTCGCCAAATGCTCTTCCAACGTGGGCCCGACAATAACCGCATCAGGCCCAAGCCCAGGCCCGCCAGGTTTGTTATGATCAAACAGTGCCGTTTCGTTCTTCTTGTTTTTCTTCTGTTGATTCTGCAACCGTTTCTGCTTATTCTTCTTCGCCGCTTTCTTCCACAAACAAGCGGGAACTTTGTACGCAGCGAGCGCCACCATGTCCATTACCGCGCAAGGAACGCAGCAGCACACTGCGGCGCAATCCGCCGTTACGTTGCCGGCGACTTCTCCGGCGCGGCGGCGGCCATTTGGAAGTTGTTGCTGACGGATCATTGAGTTGGGGAAAAACGAGACGGGGGAATAGAGAGGGGGAGAAAGAAACTAAAAAGGTGGTGGGGACGGAGCCGCGCAAGGACGCCGGCGAAGCATTTGAGCGTCTAGACCATAATTGGTTGGAAGAGGAAAAAGGTATGAGAAATTTGAAATGGAAAAAAATGGTTGGGAGAGATTAAAAGAAGGAATTGAGAGAAGAAAATATAGAAACGAAAACAGATGACAGTGCTGGCTTGATGTGGTGTTATTTCTATTTATATTTCATTTTCTTACTTTGATTCTCACAACAGAAATTCATTTAACTAAGTTTTTTTTTATTAAAAATTAAGTAATAAAAAAATATGATATTAAAGTTGTGCTCACAATGTAAAATTATTTTAAAAATGCGGTGTATCTCTCTTATTTTCTCGTAATGCTAACAGGTAATAAATTTCTATACAATTGGGTAACATAACTTAAAAGATATAGGGCTCACTTAAAAGAAAAGTGTTATTCAATTATTTAATTATCATATTTTTTAATAAGAATAGAAAAGAATTTTCACGCGACTTAATTTTACACAGATGTCCAACTATTTTTAAAAACAATTATGAAATAGGTTTACAGATAGAAAAATATAAAAATATGTTTTTCTAAACTAACTGTGTAAAATTATACATCCTCAGCCATAGTGTTTAAAGAAATTTTACATTCTCTTACATATATTTATATATTATCACCGATTAAAATGATATTTTTTTATGTGTTGTATATTTTTGTTAATTATATTGACTTTTTTTGTGTTCAAATTTCTTTTTTTACTTGAAAGTATGTTAATTTAGAAAATACATGAGAAAGTTGATTAGTTTAGATATTTATTTGAAAAATAAATTATTTAAATAAAAATGTTAGGTTTAAACTCTTTTAAATAAATAACTAAATGTAAAAGGTAGTATAATGGCTGACAAATGATTAAAAGAGTAGTATAATTTTAAGTAAAATCTATTTTATTAGATTCTTTTTGGATTTGTCTCTTTCGAAGTGCATGGATCCACTTAAGTGAAGTGGCTGGCCTCTCTCAAAAATGTTCTTCTATGAACACCAAAGTATAGTTGAATAAATAAGTGAATTTGATTTTTCGTATGTTCCTATAGGCTTGGGAATAAGTTAAAAGGTCTTGCGTTTTATTGATATAAACAAATGCTTAACCTTTCATAGACATATTATGATTGACCGCAAACAAATAATATATTTTGTAGTGAAAGGAAAAAAAAAAATATATATATATATATATAATATTTGAGATACGTTATTTTACTTAATAAAAATATTTAAAATAAATTTTATTAATTTAATTATTAATTAAAATTATAATATATTAATAATTAAACATATAAAATGTTTCAATATCTCCGTCAAAAAAATTAAGAATGTATTACAGAATATGGATTATAACTATTGTTGCGGTTAGAATATGATTTCAAATTATTAATTAATTTGAATCGCATCTTTAGTTCACAACCGCTCTTTGATTTATCCGAAGGAAAAGGTCAAAAGAGGAAAACCTAATTTTGCATCGTAAAGACAATGCAGGAAGAGATCTAGGTAAGGGGTTGGTTAAGCTTAGGGAAGGTACTAGCACCCTAAACTTCTGTAGTACTCTACAGGAACCTTTTGTTTATTGTATGCTTTTTTATTTTATTATTTGTTTGAAATATATTGCTAAGGGATAGAGTGACCTAAAGACCTAAGGGTTAGTCCTAAGTTTACTCGGCAAGACGTCGCGTCTTGTGCCTACGTATCCTGGATAGGGAATGGAATCAGAGTAATCGTAGTTCCCCTCGAAAGGGAGGTTAGAAACGTCTTGACTGTGGTCAAGGTTTCAATGGGGAATAAACGTATCTTAAGGACACGCTTATGTGGAGTCTTTGAAACTCCTATTTCTACGTTGAATTTGTTAATTAAAAATTTAGGGTTGAAATTAGGGATTCCACGGCGGGAAACCCTAAAACAAAGTACGGCGACTCTTTGACCTAAAACTAGGGTAAAGGGTATTTTTGTCCACGGCGGGACGCCTAGGTTAATTAGGGTTTGAGACGGCTAAAACTAGGGTTATTGACTCGGCGGTCAAACAACTAGACCTAATTCCTTCGGAGGGAATTCTAACGGTAAAACATGCAAACATGACAAAATATTATACGGCAAAATTAAAGTGCGGAAAGTAAAGAAAGCGTCGCGACGATCACTCGCGTAAATTACAAATCCCAAAAAAACAAAAACAAAATAAATCGCGACCATGGCCTCGCGTAAATTACATCCATGGAACAAAATAAATTAAAATAAATATGAATCATAATCTATGTATAATCTGAGGAGAGAAACAGAGAACGTTAGTGAAAAGTTAGACGAAAATATGGCAAACATATTTTATATTAAAAGAAACACGAAAATGCAATTTGGAATTTTTATTATTGTTTTGTTAATGTTTATATTTTTTTTTTATTAAAATTTTAGTCTTAATTTTAAAAGGTTTTAATTTTTAAATAAACAAAACTTTAGTTTTAACTTTTTATCTTTAGAAAGTTTTAATTTTAATTTTAATTTTTAAAAGAGAAAGTCTTAAATTAAAAAAAACTCTAATCATAAGTTTTTTTTTAAAAGAAGAAGTTTACATAAAAAAAAAGATTCGTTAGTCTTACTTTAACAGAATGTTAGTTTTAAAATTTTAAAGAAAGTTTTAGAAAAAAGTTTTAACCCTTTCTAACATGTTTTAATTCTTAATCTTTAAAACTTAAAAAAAATGTTAATTTTAATACTTAAAAAAAAGTTTTAATTTTAGGACTGGGTTAATTTTAAGTTAGTAAAAATGTTTTCACTTAACTATAAAAGTGTTTTAAACACTGTTTATTTATTAAAAAAAATTATTAGTGGTTAGTGTTTTAATTAAGAAAAAGTTTTAAGTTTTTTACTTACTGTAATTATAATCAAAAACTGGTTTTAGTTATAATTCACAAAAAGGGTTTTTAGTTAGAAAAAAAGAAAAGGTTTAAAAAATGAGAGTTTAATTATTTGGAAGAGGTTTTAATTGGGATAACATAAAAGCTTACATTTCAGTTGCCGGTTGGTGATGCTTTCGCTTGTTCTTCGCCGGCGGCAATGGTTCTCGACGAACTTCTTTGGATCTCTTTTCCTCTTTCTCAAATGGAGGTGATGATGATGAGCTTCGAAACTCTTCTGAACCTCCGGATCTTGACGACCGCCGTTTTTCTTTTTGTCTCCTTTTCTGATGACCTGTTATTGATTTTCTGATGTGAATGAAGTTTCCTCCCATCACTTATGTTTATATAGGTAACAAATTAGGGTTAGCTCTAACTTAATTCCCACTTTAAAGCCCAACTTAAAGAATTAGTCAAAACTAAATTAAAACAAACTTAAAACAACTTAAAACTCTATTTATTTACTAAATATAATAAAATATTTTCTAATATTTTTAATTTTTTGATTTTTTGATGTTTTTTTATGAATAATATGGGAAAAAGTGAAAAATAATATTTTTTAAAAAAATAATTTAAATAAAATACGAAAATAATAATTAAATAATTAAAAAAACTATTTTTGTTATTTTTTTTTATGAAAAATAGAAAAGTTAGAACAAAAATAAAAGAAAAACAAAAAGTGAAGAAGGTGGGATTTGAACTCTCGACCTCTCACACTCACAACTCCTTACACACGGTCTCTTGCCAATTGTGCCATTTTATTCATTCAAAATAAAGTGGCACTAGAAACTATGTAAAGGTAGGACAAATTTGGGGTGCAACAGATGCCCCTATTTAAATAGCTTCATCGGATGATTTGAGCAGCGGAGACTCGAGAAATCGCGGTGAAAGGGATTTAAATACAGATAACCGGAAATTTGGCCCCTAGATGTAGTGATATGCAATGATATGGACAAAATAACACGAACTATAATGCTGACAATGCCATGAATCTAATATGATGCGTATGATGAAAATGAAAAAAATGCACGGATGCAGACGAAACAACGTCACAGGGGACGGCGCAACGAGGAAATGCACTGGGGAAGAAGACACACGGTGGTGACAAGGTAACATATGATCCACACGGAGGCAGGACCAGGTAAACGACAGACGCTAGAGTTTTCGGGACATTCCTTGAAGAGATCGAGCGGGATCTTCAGGACTCACCAGAAAACATATAGGGAGAGACAACATCAGAACATTTCAGAAGAACATCGAAAAGGAGACACGTCGTATCTGGAAGAACGTCAGATAGACATGACACGAAATAGTCGATGGGTGCCAAGTAAACTGGACTTTGTCCACAAGGTAAGACGCGGATAAAACACGACCTCGGGGAGAAAAATGCGAATGGGGATAAAACACCCATGCTGCCAAGTAACTAAATTCGTCCACAAGGTAAGACGCGGATAAAACACGACCTCGGGGAGAAAAATGCAAATGGGGATAAAGCACCCATGATGCCAAGTAAATAAATTCGTCCACGAGGTAATACGCGGGTAAAACACGACCTCGGGGAGAAAAATGCAAATGGGGATAAAGCACCCATGATGCCAAGTAAATAAATTTTGCCCACAAGGTAAGACGCGAGTAAAACACGACCTCAGGGAAAAAAAAAGTAAATGGGGGTAAAACACCATGATGTTAGGTAAACCCAGGAATATCTGGTAAACGGGGAATAAAACACCCGGGATAAAGGTACATGGGGGATAAAACACCCAAGGATAGAAGGTAAGTGGGGAGTAAAGCACCCAAGATAGACATGTAAATGGGGAGTAAAGCACCCAGGATAGAAATGTAAATGGGGAGTAAAGCACCCAAGATAAAAATGTAAATGGGGAGTAAAGCACCCAAGATAAAAATGTAAATGGGGAGTAAAGCACCCAAGATAGAAATGTAAATGGGGAGTAAAGCACCCAAGATAAAAATGTAAATGGGGAGTAAAGCACCCAAGATGTGCACATGTATAGGAATTATGCTATG